TCATCCGTGGCAGCAACAACACACACACACACACACACACACACATCCACCCACCCACCCACCCACTCACCTACCCCCCCACATGCTCGCTTGCTTGCATACACACACATACACACGTATGCATATGTCCCAAGACCTACAGTTCAATCTGGTGTTCTTCCATTCTTCCTTCCCTTGCATAGATACTGGCTTCTGACTCCACCCTTTTCCCCAGCCTTTGGGGTTTCCATGTCTGACAACTGCTCCGTAGGATTTGAATATCCCCCACCTCCTGACTGCACTTCCTTAGTTACAGGTAGATCATTCAATGCACGCTTGATTCTAAAAAGAGGCAGAAAAATCCAGGTCATTCGTGGGGACTGAGGCTGCAAGAGCGGCTCCCTTTTTCCGGAAATAGCTATGGTTCCTCTTGTTATCATCTGGATAGCGCCAATTTCCCCTGACTCTGGGTAGTGATTGGACCACAAAGTAACTCTTCGACACCAGGAGAGCCCACTGGGGCTGGATAGAAAGAGCTCTATTATATAAAGCGTTCCCACCTGGGCTACAAGAGGGCCGTGGCTGGAATCAAAACCCGTTCATGAATAAATTTCCCTCTTGGAGACAATTCTCCCTCTGTGGGTTTAAAAGAAGGTACTGGGTGATCATCTACTAGAGTGGCTGAAGACCCCTCCCAACAGGCCACTTGGCCCCGTGGCCAGCCAGGCTTCCTAGGATATTTCATTTCTGGGTTACACTCACTCACTTTCCTATTACGATGAGCATCGGGGTATAGCAGGATAGAAGCAACTTGTAATTCTGCCTCTGTGACGCTCTTTATCAACCTTGGGGTTCTCATTTTTAGCCGGACTGCACCTCAGTCTGTTCATTGGGAAAAAAACAGGTGTAGACTAGACCAATAGTTTATGTCGTTCTCAGCTTTAAATAACTCTAACCAAATAGAACAGGGAAGGCCAAGAACTCAGAGAAATGAACAGCTCTTAAAATATATATATAAAGCCTAACACCAAACTACCATGCTCTAGGCGTTGGTTGTAAATGTGGACAGTGGGTTAGTAGCCTATTCTGGAGAACAAGGTCATAAATAAAATTATAAAATTGATATGACAGCAATACATGGTGGATTCAATTCCCTCCCGATGGCTATTCTTAGTTGTCAACTTGATTATATCTGGAATGAACTAAAATCCGGAAATGGAGGGTGCACCTGCAAGAGATTTTATGCTTGACTTGAAGGTGAATCTACTTTAGTCTGGACCTTTGAGGTGGGAAGACACCTGCCTTTGGTCCAGATCTTGAAGCAGGAAGACATGTCTTTAAAATGGGGGATCTCACTTTAGCTCAGGCTGGCCTAGAATTCACCATGTAGCTCATGTTAGCTTGGAACTCAAGGTAATTTCTCCTGCCTCAGCTTCCTACTGCAGGGATTATAAAGATGAGCCATCATGCTTGGCTCAAATCCTCTTTTGATTTGCGTTTTCTCAAAGCAAGACTCAGGGAGTGTGAGTTGGCTTTGTGCCGACATCTTTTGATTTATAGGGAGGAAGAGGGGCTGGCTGGCTGGGCTTCAGTGCCAGGCCGGAAACTAGGTTCGTGGGAACTTGATGACTTCCTTAGACACTTGTGCAGAGTGGCTTCATATTCCCTGACAATAAAATCCTCTGGCACATGTAGAGAAACCTGAGGGATCCATTTAATCCACACAACATAGAGGAAAGCTAAAGAGAAACCAATTTCAAGGCGGGGGAGGGGGTTAGAAATTGACTTTAAACATCTTTCAAAGGACAGAATGGAAAGAGATCGCAACTTCCAATGCAATTTGTAGAAACCATGCCCTACGTTCAAAGAGTTTGTAGTTACTATTCTAATGAAAATGTAGGTTTAAGGGAATTACAGCCACTCTCCCAAAGCCTTCTTCATCTTACGTGCTCACGGTTCAGTATGAGAAGCACAGTGAGGATGTGTGCAGTTCACAAGTCCTTGCTTTGGAAAGCCTCCCGACATTTCCACATCTGCTGCAAGGGAAGGCAAAGGAGCAGCTGGACTTTCAGAGGGAACCGAGTTCTGCGGCCTCAAGCCATGGCCAGTGGATAGTATTAGTGGCCTCAAGCCTTGGCCAGTGGATAGTATTAGCAGTCGATTCCTGATCCACAGCAGGTGTCTAACACTGACCTTTCCTGCCAGCTTAGAGCCCTCCCTTCCTGTTTCTGAAGGTCAATATCAAATTGAGTAGCAGACTTTATAAGAATACAAAGCGGGGCCAGTGAGGTGGTTCAGCAGGTAGATGCTCTCACCAAACCTGGCAACCCGTGTTGGATCACCACATAGTGAGAGGGAGGAACCAACTCTTACAAGATGACCTCTGAGCTTGGTATGTAGCACAAAGCCACATGGATGTGCACCATGCATGCATGCACACACATATACACACACACACACACACATACGCACACACACACAAATACATAAATGTGATTTTAAAAGAAAATTAGGGAATTTTCTATGAGCCTATGTGCATGGCAACAGAATACACAGCTCCCAAGTGACCAAGACATGTGTGTGTCCACAGGGTGACAGACTTTTCACCCTGCTTATCCAGAATATTCTCATGCCGGCCATCAGCCGTGGACAACAATGCCGATGGAGAGAGGTCCCAGCCACCTATCCTACAGTGTCACCTCATCTTGGCTCCGTCTTCACTGCTGCCATTACAGATAATGAACTTTATCCCCATTCGAAAACTTTTATTTAAAAAACACACAATGTCCTCTGTAACCTTCAACCACACCGTGCTTACTGAGCTAAAGCCTTCTATTCCCCTTCTGAATAGGAACGCCTCCTGTCCGGACCTTGCGCGGCTAGGGATCTGAATGCAATGGACAATTTCAAAGACTGCTCTTCCGCCTTAACAATCAGCGCATTTGGCTGAGATGATCACGCAAATGCAATGGGGACAGATGGGTGGGCTTGCACTGCGGAGGCGAGGTCTTCCTTCACCTGGCTCTGGAGCAGGACGAAGGAGTGCTGGCGGCTTGTTCTTTCAGCCCCACGATGACCTTGATCGTCTCGACTAATGCAAATTGACATCATATCCACATCGCCATGGTATTTATCATCATGGTCCTGATGTGAGTCCGTTTTCCCTGCGAATGGTGGAGAAGGGGAAAGAGATGACAGCAGAGAGACATTCTTGTGCTGGGAATGTATAAACAGCTGAGAAGAACGGAGCGACATGTTCATAAGAGAAGCCCCAAGTCCTCATTTTGTCCCCATTGTCTCCCCTTCCTTCTTAAACAACCTTCCTTTATTCTAGCTATCAATACAAAGTTCTTTCTGGTAAAATGAAGCGCATTCAGGCTGTCTGAAAAAAGCTTTTCGAGTTGATCGGTGCTCACACAAGGCAGAGTCAGTGGCGGGTGCAGCCCGTGGGGGGGTGAGGTTGGCCAATGTTCATTACTCATGGCCCGACACTCCAGCCTCCATATCATTTTGTAAAGAATCAGATAAGCCTTCCCCATGATAAACAACTGAAATAATTTTTCTTAGCTGTCAGTTCCCTTTCTCCCTTCCCCTGCCTGTTCTCACACTCTTCCCCGCTTGTGAAAGCAGCCAGGCGCAGCCCTTTGGTCTGATAAATGGGCTCCTTTCAACGGGTGGCAGGCTTCGGGAGAAAGAGATAATCCTGGATAATGTGGACACAGTTTTCATTTCATGTCACCCAATTAAACTGCAATTATCCGGAGTGCCACAGCAGAAAAACTGGAAAGAATGGCCTGAGAACGAGGCTGGGACGGTCCTAGGGAGTCTCGACACCACCACGCACATTAGCCTGGATTTGCTCTGTCTGGGTAATAAAGTGCTGGCCTAACACACACACACACACACTGGCCAGAACAGCTGCAACCTGTAACTTATAGGAAATGTTTGCAAATCCTGTGAGAAACAGAGGTCTTGATAAGAAGACCAGCGCTCCGAGTCCAGGGGCTGTACCTGTACCAGAGGGTACACCATCTCACGTGAATGTTCTTTTCTTTTTTTTTTAATCAATTGATTAATTAACTTAAAATGATCTTTCCTCACTTTTCGTACCTATCCCAGTTCCCACTCCCTCCCCTCTTTCTGCTTCCCCCACCCCACTTCCCCATCCACTCCTCAGAGAGGGTAAGGCTTCCCATGGGGGAGTCAACAAAGTCTGACACATCACTCTGAGGCAGGATCAAGGCCCTCTCCCCTGTATTTAGACTGACCAAGGTATCTCTCCAAAAAGAATGGGCTCCAAAAAGCTAGTTCAAGCGCTAGGGATAAATCCTGGTCCCACTGCCAGTGGCCCCACAGACTGCAAGCTTAACCGTCATCTTAGAACCTTCATCCAGCTACTGATGCAGATGCAGAGATCCACAGCTAAGCACTGGGCCGAGCTTCCAGAGAGCAGTCGAAGAGAGGGAGGGGCGATAAGATGGGCAAAGGGGTCAAGACCATGATGGGGAAACCCACAGAAACAGCTGACTTGAATGTTCTTTAACACCCCAGTCACCAGGTTCTTTTCCAGACAGGTCCCAGTGGAATTCTTCCTTATGTGACAAACTCAGTACCCTATGAAATACCATCCTAAGAGCCCCCCTCTGCGAGCCAGAGTGGAGGAACCAACTCTGTCGTTATCAACACATTTGAAAAATCATGCAGAGACATACTAATCCGGAGGTTGAATAGACAAACGTTTCAGTGAGCAGCCGGCTCATCAACCGGGAGCGGGGATGGGGGGGGGATGGGCGGAAAGTCCCTTCATTTAAATGTGATGATATTCAACCCTGCAAGGGACTCCAGCTACCAGTGAGAAACAGATAGAGGTTCGCATCCTCTTACGCTCACTCCCAAAGGCTGCGGTTCTCTGGTGGTAGGAGACAGTGAGTCCTGGTAGAGAAAAATGAAAGAAAACACACACACGAAGGGGAAACTTTAATGAAAGTGATGACAGTCATATTCATAAGTGCAGTTGAGCAGAGATTAATAATGGTAGAATTTATTGAAAGAAAAGCCAATTCAATAGAATGAATGAAAATGATCTTTGAGGGTGACTCTGTCAGAGCACAGTGAGAAAAAACGAAGCTGGTCCCAAACTCCAAAGTCTCGTTTTCATCACGGACAACATAAATCTTTGGATTTATGAATACCTCCTCAAATAAACCGTGCAACTTTTCCAGCTGGTATACTCTGTGATGAATCAACTGCTTTAATCTCCTAAAATTAGTCTCCGGTGTGCTGTTTGGCTCTCTGGCTCTTCTTTCTTCCTCTTTCTGAGATGGATCCCATCTTAATCTGTTGGAGAATAGCCGTTTATGGCCCCTATAGGTGGCAGATGAGAAAAAGAGTCACTCAAAGTCGACGATGACCAGAAAAATTGACTCGAGTTTAGCTGTCAACAAGCCTGGGGCCCCTGGCGGCTTCCCCAGGTGTCACAGACAAGAGATGGAAACATCTGTCCTCAGGGACTCCGCCTGTCTGCCGCTCCTCAGGAGCTGGAGGTGCTGCCTTACCCCACATCTTCAAAGAAATGTAGAAGAACACACCATCAAAGTCACGCAGTAAGCATTAAAGAAAACAACCTGGAGACATCTCGAGATGAATTTGAAAATTGGTCCATTCTTCAGTAATCCTAAATGTAATAATAACCACCCACCACAGCGATGCTAACAACACAAGACAGTCTGTGTGTACCTTTCATCTAAGCTCAAAGACAGTAATGGCCTGGGATAGGATTCCATCCTCGGTAGCTTTATGGGAGAATCCACACAATTACAACTCCGTAATGATGCCGTGATAACATTAATAATACCTTGTGTTTACACAATGCCTATCTCTGGGAAACCCAAGCAGCTGAGAGATGCTGATCTACTTAAATGCCAGGTCTCAGGCATGCAGGTCTAGGGCGGGTATTTTCCATTTAAATGCTATTTCGGAAATGATGGGAATACTGACATCGCCTACCTTCCTTCCTCCTAGGTATCTGTGAACATAAAGAAAAAGAAGATTGTCTAGATGTAAATCTTCAGCTACACAGAAGAACAATGTTAATAGCAGAACATAATAATACCACTCAGATCTCTGTCCATCTGATATACTTGTCTTCCAAACGATGGGTTTAATTCCCATCCTGTCCTTTCTCCCTGAGAGATTTTCACACAGCTCAGCCAGTGAAACGAAGCTGGCAAAGTTGCTGGAGGAGAGACAGTCTTTAGCATGGTCCCTCCAGTTGGCCTAGGGCACAATTTTAACCTTCCTGGGGCTGGTTCTCCAAAGATTTCACAGGGTTGGTTTAGAAAACCTTTAGTCATTTGAAGTGGATTTTTTTAAGGCTGTACTTCCAGAGATCCTGAGTTCAATTCCCAGCAACTACATGGCGTCTTGCAACCATCTGTAATGAGATCCGATGCCCTCTTTTGGCCTGAAGGCAGAACACTGTATACATAATAAATAAAAACAAATCTTAAGAAAAGCATACCTTTGACTCGGAGACATGGAAATAAGAGTATTTTTTAAAAATAGCAGTGGGACAAGTTTGGATTCAGCATGGGAGGATCTCAGAGCAAATAGAATAGCTAAATGGAAAGACGTTTCCTTAAAGTAAAATTCCTTATATAGATGAATTCATTGTGGGCAGAGTTACATAGGACCACCCTCCATGGATTACTAGATACTTAATTAAATTACAATACTTTAATTTTACAACAATCTCAAATATTCAGTAGCAGTCACAGTTTTAATCATGGTTTACTATCATATTATTTACTTATTCTCTTATTTTTCACCCTAGTAAGAAATCATAGTGAACACTAAATAAATATTTCATACTGAGTAAGTGAATGAAGAGGCAGAAATACAGTAAAGTGGTTGGAAACTCAAGTTTTCCATGAGAAAGTCTGAGCTGGAGTCAAGACCACTCCGTTTGCTAGTCTTACACAGCAAAGCAAACCCAGTAAACTCTTGGAGCCCCAGTCTCAGATCTGTGTAAGGGGAAGAGCATCTATCAGACGCACCCGAGTAGTAACCGGAAGCCATGTAGGTAAATTTGTTAACCTAAACTCTTGACAACCAAAATCACACCGTAGTTTGGCCCCATCTTTAAGGTCAGTCAGGTACCTCTGCCGTGCACAGCCTCACCAAGAGAAGCTTCACTTCCTGTAACCCTGAGATACCTCTTTGCTGTTGCTGTGGCCAGCGGTGCTGGGCTAAGGACAAAGGGAAAAGCCGCCAGGAAGCATGCCCAGTGTGCAAGGGTTTTCTCTTTTGACCCCCTCGCCTACTACAACCCTTGGTATCCTTGGGAGACCCCTCATTCAATCCTCTCAGCTATCTTAACTCCCTGGGCTACCCCGGCCCTCGAGAACTTTGGGTGGAACCTTCCCCCCACCCCAACCAATCCTCTGGGCTATCTTAGCTCCCTCATCTACCATGACCCTCAAGATCACCCCACCCCGAGCCAATCCTCTCTGCTTAGTACCCACATTAAGGCTCAGTTAGGGAACCAGTGAATGTGCTTCCAATACTCCTACTTTCTGCATCGCGTGCCTCCATATTTACCCTCCTGCTTCAGTTTGGCTAGAGTAGAATCTCCCTTTAAGGCCATTTGAGGATAGAACAAGAAGATCTTAGGCCACAGTGGCCGGAAAACCACTGTGTGTCCCTGGCTGCGGAGGGGCGAGGTGCGTCTACCCAGAGATGTCTCACCTCCCCCTCACCAATGCGCTGGGCCAATCTGTGAACTGTGGCACAGAAGATGATCCTAGGAGACTCGGGGAGAATGCAGATGAGGCAGGATCTCTGCTTTGTCAGGACGGGGGCATGCTGGGCAGATTTCCAGACCTTGTACAGCCATTTAACAAATCCACTCCTGGCGGAGAGCTGTGAGCTGGTTGGAACCGGTAAGGAGACTGGAGTTTGCAGTAGACTGTGAGCTGCTGCCGGGGAGGCGCTGCAGCGGGGGAGGCGCTGCAGCTGGCTGAGACCCTCTTGTTCTCTTCCGATATTTCACATGGTTCAGAATACGCATGCCTTTAAACTTGACATGTTAACCTCTCCAACCTCAGTTTCTTCAGCTGCAAGAGTGATAACCTCACTTACAGGAGTGCAATGGATCACGTGGGATACGGCACATACAGACACATAGGATCACCATCCTCAGAAGAAAGTTCACAGTACGCATTGCTGGCCACAGGGTCCCACCCCTCACCCGTCAGCATGCAGCTTTCCACACAGAGGGGCAATTTCCACTGGATCAGTCTTTCCCTTCACCAAATTCTCTCTCTCGAGTAGTCTTCCCCATTCACACTTTTGACATTTGTTGCTTGTGGAACAATGGGCAAGGAACACACAACTTAACAGGCTTCCATCTTAGTTGAGGCGTTATGGCATACACATGTAAAGGATAACATACACGTGTAAAGGATAACTAACCAACATTGGCTGAGAAAGTCCAGATGTAAAAATCTCCTTTTCAGATAATACATCCAGGTGGATTTATTTAGACACATAGGAAATATTCATACTTCTGGGAGGGCTCACTTTAAGTACACTTATTAGTTATGCAAATGAAAGTCAGCTAGACACAGTCCTGCAAAGGAAGACGTTATAGGCTTGCTTTTGCCTACTGACAAAGCATCCGAGATCCCTTCTCAGGAGGCAGAAGAGATGGAACATTTGCTAGCTCCCTAAGTGCTTTGTGGGGGCAGTTTGTTCTTCGCTAGCAGAGAATTGAGTCGAGCTGAGTACCCCCAGCACAGCGTACCTCTTTTGGCAGCAGTAGGCGAAAGAGTGGGTGTAAATTGAGTTTTGGGCATTAAAGCAAGATGAAAGCTGACTTTGGCCCAGGTCCTAAGTGTCAGAGAGTGGCTAGGGTCCAGTACCCTGGTGGGAAAGGCCCTCTTGAGATCTGGCACGGCAAGAAGTGAGTCATGATGCAGGGGTGCCTGTCCAACTGGTGTCACCAGTGACCCTGGCAGACATACCATAAGGGGCCACTTAGTTTGAGCCGTACTAGATGAGTGATATGTGCTAGTCTCCATGTTAGTATAAAATACATAATGATTAGATGGAAGATAGGTGGGTGAATGGTAGATAGATAGATAGATAGATAGAGATGATGATGATGATGATGAAGATAGATAGATAGATAGATAGATAATGATGATGATGATGATGAAGAAGAAGATAGATAGATAGATAGATAGATAGATAGATAGATAATGATGATGATGATGAAGATAGATAGATAGATAGATAGATAGATAGAGATGATGATGATGATGAAGATAGATAGATAGATAGATAGATAGATAGATAGATAGATAGATAGATAAATAGATAGATAGATAATGATGATGATGATGAAGAAGAAGATAGATAGATAGGTAGGTAGATAATGATGATGATGATGATGAAGATAGATAGATAGATAGAGATGATGATGAAGATAGATAGATAGATAAATAGATAGATAGATAATGATGATGATGATGATGATGAAGATAGATAGATAGATAGATAGATAGATAGATAGATAGATAGATAGATAGATAGA